TTAGGTTGCCTGGTGCGACAAGTTAAGTGAGGAGGGGGAGTTGTAGAGATAGCATCTGGAATTTGACTGGGGGAGAGGGGGAGTAGAGGTAGGATGGTTCAGGGTAAGGGGAAGAGATACTGGGGGAGATGCTGAAATGTGGGAGATGGGAGAGTAACAGAGTGGACAGTTTTGGAATAGGTGGAGAGGACTTAGAAACAAAGGTTCTCTTGAGAGAAGCAGAGGAAGAGGAGGGTGTAGGAGAGGATGTGGTAGAAGATGGAGTGGAACGTTTAGGTTGCCTGGTGCGACAGGTTAAGTGAGGAGGGGAAGTGGTAGAGATTGGAGTATCTAGATTTAAATTGGAAAATGAATTTGACTGGGGGAGAGGGGAGGTAGAGGTGGGATGATTCAGGGTAGAGGGAAGAGATACAGGGGGAGTTGCCGAGACATTTTTAGAAGACGGGAAAGGAGCAGAGTGGACAGTTTTGGAAAAGATGGAGAGAGAAAAACCTTGTCGGCAGGCCTAGTTTAAATCTGAGAACTAATACCTCACATTCAAGCTTATAGGCAGGACGGCTCCTATAAAATACATTATGGCAGCAACCACAATTGGTACACGTACGTGACTGAGCAGAGCAGTTAGAACGGTCATGACCAGGTTGGGAACATAGAGGGCAGCAGTCTGTGAAGCGGCAGTTTGGCTGAGTGACCAAAACGCCAACATTTCTGATACTGACGAAGAAGGGGTCTATGTGGTCGGACAGGGCTGGACACCACCAATATAAACTTCATGTCTATGGTAGTTAATCTTGGTAGTATTGGTATGGGATTTACGATGACCTTTGGAAGGAAGAGTGTAGTACTGTACTGCCACGTATCGTAGATAGAGCAGTCAGTTCCAGTACAAATATTAAGAGAGGAGTAAGGTTCGACAGGAATGGGTTTGCTAGTGAGGTCAGTCAGGGTTGATAATGCACGAGCTTGGGATCCCGATGTAACTGTGACAAGGCGTGATCGATTGAAAAGACTGCGAAAGGAAACTTTACCTATTTGTTTTAGGGAGACATTTTTGGAATAGAAGGGTATTTTCAGTGTAAGGGACTGTATGGTCAATCACAAAGAATCAATCCCACTTGGCTGGGCCAAATAGAGTACTCAAAAGGTTTGCAGAAGTTTAAGGAGCAGAAGGACGAGGGCGGATTGAAGATGGGGTGGTATTTGAGTGAAGCAGTACTGTGGGGAGAAGGACAAGTAGGATGAAGAGTAGTAATAAGAGGAGGGGGTACAAACGAAGACAAGTAGATGGAGTGGAGAAAGTTGGGAGAGAGGAAGGGGTGCATTCCGTGACCAAATGAGGGGCAGGAGTCTGAAAACCAACAAAATCAAATTCAAATAGGCTAGTTGATGAATGGGCAAGCTTTAATGCCCCTAATTAGGGTAAACAATCTTCATTATTGGCCATGGTTAAGCCTGAGATAAATGGGGAAAAGAAACGGTCTACCTCTCAGGGTTCCCATAATGTGTAATGGCTAGGCAATTGACCAAGGAAATACCGTGCCCATGGCTCCCGGAGGCCGTTCATGACTGGCACAAAGTCAGCCTTTCATCCTTTCAGCATGGCTCTCACCTTAGGAAATGGATAGAAGAAGGGGATGAAGAAGAGAAGGGAAAAAAGGGGGAGAAGAAAAGACCATTCAAAATCAGTTGAGGCAAAGGCCGAGGCCCAAGGTTAGGGTAATCTCCTACATTGGGACTCAGTCTCTGTCTCAAACCGCTTCATAAAAACGAGCAACGGATTGGGGGGAGGGCTCTTTGTTTAAGTCTCCCGTAATTACCGTAAAATTGGCTTTCGCTATCACCTCTACGGACTTCTCTACCTCTTTATCACTATGACTAGAGGCTGGGCATAAACTTGAACAAGCTTTAGGTTGTTCTTTTCGTTTAATTGTAGTATTACAAAAGCTACTCGTTCGCACACACTGCAGAATATTATGACATATATTGGGTGTGCGTGTGTATGTTTATTTAGATTGATTGATAAATAAATATACGTATACGCACGTAAGACATTTTGCAATTTTGCAATTCTCTGTATGTAGAAGGCCTACAGAAAATTATGTAACATAATCTTTTAAAGTAGAAAAAAAAAAAAAGGATTTTAAATGAATATTTAATTTATGATTAAATGGAAGGCAGTTTTCATGATGTGACTGTTTATATCAACTCTAATTTACACTAATTGCTGGTATGCCAACACGCTCCTGATATCAATAGCTTTACATAATATTAACAAGGTCTGTCAGACAAGTTATTGTTTCTTCTATCACTAAGATAGTCCTCAAATGGTAATGTTACTAGTTTATCCGGTCATTTTACGCATATATATATCATCATCATACCGGACCTAACGCACACGGGGGCTCATAACCGCACTAACCCTTTGTACAGCCAACAACAAAATGGGTGACGCCTTGTCATGCCTGGCTCGGAGAGATCATGCCCTTCTTGCCCTGAAAGGAGGCCCACGTTCAAACAACTAGGACATCGGATGGTTCGAATGTGAGGGGGAAGGAAATTACGGAAATCAAACAAAGAAAGTGCAATGAATGAAATATATATGGAGAGAGAGATGGATTGCTTTTATTCCTATTTAGTTGTTGATTTGATAAATATATTGAACCTGTTATCGATTATGATTTCGAAAATAATAATCATGAAATCTTATCACAAGTTTTTTAAAATTCTTTATCATATTTTCTAAATAAAAATCCTTTAATATTGTTGGAACTACCTATTCATATTAATATTCGTCCGCCGGAAATATTCTTCGTTTGCCTTAACCCAGAGCCGTACATTAATTAATATATGGCTCTGTATTATCCTAAGCAGCTACCTTCTCTCTCACTCTCCTGTCTTATATCACCTGGATCCACTGTTTAGAAAATGGTAAACTTTTGATATGTTATTTGGATACTCACGACAATATTTCATACGCCAATATATTTTCCAATTGTTTACAATTACTTCATTACCAAAAATAACGAAATGGATATGCAAAAGGCGTACTGAGCAGGAGATATTCAATGTAATGAACTTCTTGAATAGTTTGGAGGAGAACACCACATAAATATAAATGCACACACACATACATATGTATGTATATATTATATATATATATATATATATATATATATATATATATATATATATATATTATATATATATATATATATATATATATATACATACATATACCCATACACTCTATCTCTCTCTATATATAATATATATATATATATATATATATATATATATATATATATATATATATATATATATATATATATATATATACATATATATATATATATATATATATATATATATATATATACATATATTATGTATATATATATATATATATATATATATATATATATATATATACATATGTAATATATATATATATATATATATATATATATATATATATATATATATATATATATATATATATATATATATATATATATATATATATATACACACACATATGTATATATATATATATTATATAAATATATAAATATATAGTATATATATATACTTATATATATAACATATAATGTATTTATATACATATATATACAGACACACAGAGACACAGACACACAGACACAGACACACAGACACACACACACACACACACACACACACACACACACACACACACACACACACACACACACACACACACACACACACACACACACACACACACACACACACACACACACACACACACACACACACACACACACACACACACACACACACACATACATACATGTATATGCATACATACATATGCTTTGAGTGTTTACTTGTGTCATAACAAAGAGGTTTCAAAATATACACCCAGATTAAAAAATGACTTTATTATGAAAAACAATAATACTTTTACTAATCTTTTACACACACACATGCATATATACATGTGTCATAACAAAGAGGTTTCAAAATATACACTAGGATTAATAAATGACTTTCTTATGAAAAACAATAAGACTTTTACTAATCTTTTTATACAGCCAAATATTTTATCCATCAGAATACAAGTTAAACATATTTTCCTCTCGCTAATTCTACTATCTGTAGAATACTGTAAAACTAAAACCATCTTTCAAAGGAGTACAGCATATACACTGAAAATTAGCTAAAATTAGATAATGGCTTTCTAAAAGGAAAAGTAACAAAATATGTGTGTGCATGCTTATGTGTGTGTTTGCATGCTTGTCTGCTGTGTGTGTGTGCTTGTGTATTGTGAGTGAGTGAGTGAGTGAGTCTGTGTGTGTGTGTGTGTGTGTGTGTGTGTGTGTGTGTGTGTGTGTGTGTGTGTGTGTGTGTGTGTGTGTGTGTGTGTGTGTGTGTGCTGTGTGTGTGTGTGTGTGTGTGTGTGTGTGTGTGTGTGTGTGTGTGATGAAATATACATGTCCACAAATGAAAATGTGAATGTGTGCAAATGTGAGTCTGAGTGATAGTGTGTAAGCATGTTAGGCCTACAGAAATGATTTTATTATACACAACAATAATAAATGATAAAAAAGGCTTTTACAACTGTATTTCTTAAAATGCCCATAAAACTATTTTATATGCATCAGAATATATGGTTAAAACACCTTTTTTGCCTCTTTAACTTATTAGGACCTGTTTAATAGCTACAACCATTTTTAATGCATAATTTTCCACAGTTGCATATTGCTAAAAGGCGATATGAAACATTCATGTCTGAATGTATTTATGTTACTTAAAATAAAGAAAAGAAGAAGAAAAAATATGAGAACTGGGAAAGGGGGGGAGGGAGAGAGGAGAGAGAGAGAGAGAGGAGAGAGAGAGAGAGAGAGAGAGAGAGAGAGAGAGAGAGAGAGAGAGAGAGAGAGAGAGAGAGAGAGAGAGAGAGAGAGAGAGAGAGAGAGAGAGAGAGAGAGAGAGAGAGAAGAGAGAGAGAGAAGATGTGGGTGGGGGGGGTACCCTGTGTGTGTTTTTCCTGTATTTAAATGTGGATATACTTCCTGGGAAACATAAGATTCCTTTACCTAAAACAGAAACACAGCTAAAATTTCATGTTTGTTGAGTAAATCAAAAGGAGGCAAGAAATTTCATACTGCTGCAATTTAGCAGTATACAAGGTCACCAAAGTATGCTGTCAATGCTTTTACTTTGTTTCCCATTATGCTGTATTCAATATCAACACAGTTTTCTAGTCCTGCTAGCTCAATAATCTGAAAAAAAAGTTATAATGACTTAATTCTGGATAACATAAAGAAATTTGTTTACCTTAATGTAAAAATATAAAAAAATATATATAAATAATTGGGCTGTTCAATAATTGTTTCATTCATATTAGCAATTTTATCATAAAAGAATAAAAACATTTTGTACAAACTAATTTTATAATCATAACAAACCTGATATAAATCACTATTCTTTGGCAGAAAGATAGCTATGTCCTTTGTTATTTTCTGTGCTGTAGATATAAGCGTCTCACAGTTAATGCATCCATCCAGGGCTTTTACATTATACACCTTCTCCTGCATATACTGCGTACCACCCCAAGGAGGACTCAAATACACAACATCAGCCTGAAATACAAGTAATTTTGGTAATAGTGTAAAAAACTGTAAAAAAAATACTTTATATTCAGAATGGGTACTTCACTATATTCTCAAATATATCTAACTGTCAAATATAAAATTCTCATAATTTACCTTTAAAAATGGAGCAAGTTTGAAGAAGTCTCCTACAATGAATTCTATTCGGTGTTCTACACCATAAACTGATGCATTGTGATATGCCATTGCAATTTTCTCGGGATCTATATCAATTGCAATAACTGAAAGTAAATTTCAAGTGGTAGGTATGATGTATATATATATATATATATATATATATATATATATATATATATATATATATATATATATATAAAATGCAATAAGCAGTATTATAGGCTGTGTATATAAATGAAAGATAATACACAATACCAATTTATTTATTTCATTTATCTAATTACTTGGCCATACATTCTGTTTACCCATTGCCCACAAAGGACATACCATTCCCCTTGTGGCATCAAAAAGTTTTCATTACTAGGTCTTCTCGCTGAGTGATGTGAACCACCCAACATGATACCATGATATTTAGAACTCATTTGTTTCATGTTAAGGCACTGTGGAGGTGCAAAGATGAAGGGAGAAGGGGAAGGGAGATGAGGGGAAGTGTGAAAAGAGATGGGGAAAATAGATGTCACTGAAACATAATATACTGTGATGTCATAGGCCCAGGGATATTGCTTGTGGGATGCAAAAATATAGTGTGATCTGATTGCCTAACAATCTGTGTTAAAGGGGGACATTAAGTCCCATAAATTAATCATTTGCTAGCTCATATATGGCATCTACTGTTATCTCCTGGTAACTTTCTATTCATTCTCTATGTGTCTATATCAAATATCTGTGTAATTCTAACATGCTTCTAGGTACACCTCCAGTGAGGACAGCAATGGACTGCTACTTCAACCTCAGTCAACCAGTAAGTAGCCATGATATCACTCTCTTGGTTGTGGAAAGATTTTTTTCCCCTCTTGTCTGGTGCACCAATGGCCTCTACACAGAATGGTATGACTGATTGCTGGACAAGTACTGACAAGGGATATCTGCTAAGGGTCCACTCAACAGCAGCTTTGGATTATATATTTCAATAGGGCACTGTGTTTGATTCAGATAAGGTTTTTGTGAGACAGTGGGAGCAAAATGCTCTTGGGACCCAGTAGTTATAAATATCTATATCTATATACTCTAAAATTTGAAAATCTAATGTCAATCTGTAAGCCAATAAAAAAAATAATGTATATTTCACACTTTTTAAACCAAAAAATCAACTAAAGTGAACTCCCTTCAATCACTTCATGGAAACATCAAATCAGATGTCTAATAGAGACCTCAGAATATATAAAATCAATCAAAAGACACAAGAAACAGGCCCTTGAGTGAGTACCTGAAATTTAACAGGAGCCTATGGGTTAACAAATATACAGCATGATACACAGCCTATGAAGAACGTATAGATTACTTGTTTTTTAGCATAATTTTTTTTTTGTATGAAATAATGCAACTATATCTAGTATACAGACATGATTTCATCTATTTACCATGGTTACATGTTGCTGCCAATTGAATGGCATTTCCACCAGCACCACAAAAGGCATCTACAACCACATCACACCTGCATCGGTATGCATGATGGATAGCAATTGTTTCTGGAGTTACAGAAAACCATGATTCTGAAATACAAACACTAGTTAATCAATCATCAAAATGCTGTATAATTTAATTTAAATAATATTAATAGCAATAATGATAAAATTTAAAAATTTCTGTGTAAAAAAAAAATAATAAAAAAAATAAAGGAATGGAGAAAGGTAGGAAATTATCTGACTCCATGGTGACTAAGGTCTTC